GCTAAAGTCTGAAAGAAACATGTCAGTTAAAAGTAATTATTTTCTCCATGGTGATCTTCTACCACTACTTGTATGACATCTTCTAGTGCTTGCAGTATTTAATGAATTCATTATAGTATGAAGAACAGGATACCTCAAAAGAATAATAGAAAAAAAATGTTTTCCAGTGTTTCTGGCTGTCAGTTACTATATTCTTCCTCTCTGAAAAAATGTCCACTGCTTCTTATTCCTTTTGCATTCATTGTTAGTAAAACATATTTTTCTTACTGTCATCCCAGTTGAGTAGACTGGTAATACAAACTTGATTGGCTTTTGGGGAGTTGGCACAACAGCATTTTCTCAGATGATGCTCCAAAGTTTATACGTTACTGACAAAGCCAATTCAGATTACTGTGAGGATAATTTTAAAAATAAGAAGTCAGCAAAACAGTACAATTGTTATAGAAACATAGAATCATTGAATGGTTTGTGTTGGAACAGACCTTTAATGATACCTAGTCCAACCACTCTGCCATGGACAGGGACATCTTTCACTAGATCAGGTTGCTCAAAAGCCTCATCCAACCTGGCCATGAAAACTTCCAATGATGTCCACAACATCCACAACTTCTCTGGGCAGCAATTATAAGTTACTAGCTACAGAGCTTCTGAAAGAACAGTTCTAAGAGAAGATTAATTGTTCTGTTGTTGTGATTTCCTACTGAGTTCCTAGTGATGAAATAAAGATTTACTGCAACCATTTCATGCTTCAGCAGTGTTAACCAGTGCATGTAAAAAAATAATTAGCCCATCATTTCATATGATGAAAATGCATTTTGAGTGTAATTTTACTTGTGTGACTGTTTGTACATTTAATTGCATAGAATCATAGAAATTCTGACTGGAAAGAACTGCTGAAGGTCTCTAGTACAACCTCTTCCTTGTAGCAAAATCATCAATGATAGACCAGAGTAATTGTAGTTAGACAATCAGGATTTTAATTTGCCTTGCCAGTTTTATTTATCTTTTTTTTTTTTTGCTATACAACTGTTGAAAGATTCCTTCTCCAACCATCCTGCTTCTGTATGATTACCACTGCAATTACTGTTTGTGCAGCAGTTCAGCTAGTAGTGGGTAAATAAGATCTCAACAAGAATCTGTTATCAGAGTTAATAAAGGCAGAAACTCAATCACAGGCTCTTCATTAATAGGATGGCTTATTAGTTATGAATACTTTATTGCAAATCCATAGTACAAGTTTAAGCATTGGCAATTTACACTTGTATTTGTGTTTTTACAGAGTGTACCACATCTGAGAGATGATAAATAGAAAGTGCTTCTGTGTGCTCTCAGAGCAGAATGCTCCTGTGCAGCCCACAGCTGTGTTCAGTGCCTATAAAGAATGCCCACCTGCCTTATTTTTCTTTTCAAAAGCACTCTTTTCGTGTTTATTTTTCAGTGCTGTGAACTTTGGAGCCATTGGGGTCTTCATGGCACATGAACTTCTTCACACATTCTATGGTTATGGTGGGTACCTGTGGTGTCTTTGTTTACTCTTCTAGGTCCCCACTGGTACTTTCCCTCAGAGGATCTTAAATCCTGGTCCCTTTATCAATGTATACACATATCATTAAGGTAGATTAAGCTAAGAAAAACCCATTCCAGACCACGTTGACTACTAAGAAGACTCAATGATTAATGTGAGGTATACAGGTTACTGCCAGAAATACCTTTACTTTCTAAGATTCTTTTTCCCCTCACAGTGCTGCCTGGGGGCTGTCCTGCATGCAACAGGAGTGAACTACAGAAATCTATAGACTGCTTGGTTGAACAGTATGAAAGCTACGACTTAAGAGTCAATGGTACTTTTACACTGTTGGAGAATACAGCTGACAATGGAGGGCTAGCCATTGCTTACCAGGTATTGTAGTCTACTTACCTCTCTAGTCTCATGATTTCACCACACAAGTCAACCGCCATGCACATTTGGTGTGGTGATAAGCTGCCTCCATACTGCTATTTTCATCAATAACTTAGTCTAGAGAGAATTTTTTATTTCCTTATGCAGCGGTTTAGCAGTTGAATTACTGAGTGCAGGGTGCTCTGAGATCTCTAGGTCTCAGATGGCACTTGCTACATTCTTGCATGAAGAATGTTGGGAGGTAGAAAGTCTTTTAATTTTTATTCAAATATTTGTGACTTTCTCTGAAAGTAGTTTTCATTCTTTCATAGTGCAGTCACCACATTTCTTACAGTGATGTGTGTCTGGTATGGGAAGCAAAGGAGTTATGTTGTTATTCTCCTGTCTTAGAATTACCAAGGGCATGGTCAACAGCAGGAGACTCAGAGTTAAGAGAGAGAGATATAAATTTGCTAACTTATTAAATATATATTAGATATATTTCATTGACAGAAGATATGATTTTGGGACACTATCTGAAGGGGGATTTATTATCATTAGTTTTCTCTCTCCACAGGCCTATAAAAATTGGCTGAAAAAGCACAAAGAAGAGAAGGATTTACCTAAGATTGGACTTTCACACGACCAGCTTTTCTACCTCAGTTTTGCCCATGTAATGTATTCTAGGCTAGTCTTGTATATCTCTTAACTCTCCATAGTCTTCCACATTATTACAGATTGTCTTTCTCAATATTCAATCACTTTTCCCCCCTCCTCACAGAACTGGGAATGACCAATGTTTCTGGTAGATCTAGAATCTTATTTATAAAGCTAAAATTCACATATAGGGCCCCTAATATGTTGTGGATCTCAAAGCCAACAAAAGGCCTGTCTGCAAATATATTTTTTACAAAGCTCTGAAATCTACGAAAATTAGGTTGTAGAAGACAAGTTGTGTTAGGGAAAGCATGCTTCGTGTCAGCTTCTGAGAACTTTTTTGCTGTTGTGAGCAATATTACACATGGAAAGTGGATTTTTACTGGAAAAGGTGCATATTTCTCCATCCCTTCCTTCATCTGCGCCTCTGTCATGATGAATAACTAGATGTCATGGCATTCTGAGCGACAGTGAGAAAAAAAAAGTTTAGAATGTTATTTAGAGATAAAGAACTAGATGTAAATGCATACATAGTTTGACATTTCTGTGGGAATCTGGTTTAAGGATTTGTGCAAAGTTGTGCAGTTGAGTTCCTCATGATAGATCATTGGATTTCTGTGCTCACAAAAGTCACATCCTTACAAGTCATTGTAATTGTGCAAAGGGAAATGTTTTGTGCATGTATTGACATTAGGTCAGAGCAGTGTGTAGAAAAGAAGTTCTGAAATCCCAGATTATTTGGTCTTGGTGGCAAAATTTGTATTTCAAAGGCTACCTGGCAGCTACTGCATAATTTGTCAATGACTGAAGACTGAATCACAAAAGTGAAGGCTTGGGTTGCCAGTTTAGCATCAAAGTTTCATCACCTTCCCCACAGACTCTTGAGTAGTAGTGGGATGTCGTGTGAGTGTTCTCCTTTCTTGCTAAGCACTCATTGCTTTTGCCTAAGAAGCTAAATTTGCTCACCTAGACTACTGCTATACCAGTATTTTAGGAGTCCAAGGTTGCATAAGCCTAAACTCCAAGGTGGTCTAAATTCCCTGTGTTCTGGACTACACAGTATAGGAAAAGAGCAGATGGCATGCCAGATAGGGAAATTGGGACACACATGTTTAGGGTAAGAGAAAGCGATCAGGAATTGTGGCAATGAAGTGAAAGATCTGAACACTGTTGGCACCCGTGTAAGTGTGCTGCTATGTTTACTCCAGCAGTCTCAGTCATGTGTGCAGAGGCATGAGGAGCCTTAAGTTTTGTTCATTTGAAGACTTTCAGCTGAACTCACTTCTCTGTTTTGCATCCTTTCAGGCAATGTGTGGACACCTGGATCCTGTAAAACTACAGTCTTCCCTGAACACAGATCCACACAGCCCCTTGCCACTTCGTGTCTGTGGGTCTGTCAGCAATAGTCAGGACTTTGCCAGGCACTTCCACTGTTCCAGTGGATCCCCAATGAACCCAGACAACAAGTGCCACATCTGGTAATCTGCATGGAAAAGGAGGAAGAGAGATAAGACCTCAGGGAGAGGAAGGCCTGACCAATGAAAGCATGACCATCTTCTCAGGGCTCCTGGGGTGGCATGGTGCTCTTATTAACTCCTCCACCTTCCTTTTCTTGTTATCCTTTCCTCAGCAGTTGATGGTAGCAAAACTCTTAAACTGAGCTCATAAGGGAAGAGGGTCTTCTCCTACTACTCTCAGCACTCTGCCCCAGATGCAATGACTCTGGAGTTTAGCAAGTCCCAAGGTAGCAAGATGACTAGCCAGTTTCTAGTAGGCAACAACTTCTAAGGAGTTGTAAACAGAAGGACTGTTACATTATTAATCCTTCTGTTCAGTGGATTTCCCTGCCTATTCCAGCAGCCTCACAGTTGTCTTTGATGGACAAGGGAATAAGCTGGAGACCTAAGACTTGCTCATCTAAAGTTGACTTTTAGGGAAATCCCATAGGTTACTATGCAAACCACGCATGTAAGTTACCAGAGAGTAAAGAATCTTCTTTTCCTCTTCTGCCAATAAATGAAGATAGGTAGTAGGAAAGACTTAGTGGCTCCAGCTTCTAGGCTGAAAGATAAGTCACTTAATAATGAAGGTTACTGAAGGCTTTCTCTGTTCTCTTTTGGTTTATCAATAAAAATCCTGAGACAAAAAAGAAAAGAGGAGAGCAACCCCATTGGTGGGAGGGAGATTGGAAGCTGAGAACAGATTTTTTTTCCTTCTTTCCTTTCTTTCTCTCTCTAGTCTCTATTTAGGGTTGAGGATATGGTTGAGGGTGGAGTATGGGACAGTCACAAGGGTTTCTAGAAGTCTCTGAAGACTGAACAATGAGAATTCCAACATCGTCTCTGGAACCTGAACCTGGTTTTCTCATCCCTACATTTGTAAATATTTTCCATCCAAACAGAGGCGTAGAGCTGCTGTAGGATTTCACTTCCTACTTGAAATTGAATTTTAGGTATTCATTTACTTTAGAGGAAAAAGAGAGTAAGAAGTAATATATTTTAGAGTAGCAGAAGTGCTTAAAGCACATGCTCAAGAGCAACCTAATAATTACATAAGTTTCAGGTTCTGATAATTAGAAACTTTATACCAATTCTCTAAAATTTACTAAAGTTAATAAGTATACAAAATTCTCCTTCTTCTTGTATGCTCTTCAAACTGTTCTTGATTATGGGAGCATTTTTATTTTACTTATTAGATTGGTTGCCTGGGAATTTTTGAGGGATAGGTGATGGCAAGTGAAACATTCCTTGTCAATGTAAGCATTGTAAAAATTGTGAAAATCCTTATAACTGTGTTCATCCTTTTCAAGTACTGACCAATGCAGCAAAGCATTTTCTAAGAACAGACTGTTCAGACGTTTTGTTTTCATTACTTACCTAAAATGCTAATGAATTGTTTGTTTCAGAGAAAAAGAATTACTTTGATTGCAAACTCTTTGTGACCAGGCCTGTTTCTTTGTTCTGTATTTGTACCATTCCCAGCATGACTGGACTTTTTAGCCGAACAGGTAATAAACAATAATACCTCAAAATAAATTGATTTGTTTATCCATCATAAAAAAATAACAGAATTTGGCTTGTGCTTATCTTTACCATTTAAACAGTGTATACTCTTCCTCCACTTGTTCAATCAGTCCTAGCAGTGTGTCCAGACTGTCTTTCTTTTAGATGCTAATAACAATTAACATTCTACCAGACCTTGTGTAGAATACAGAAGTTATTTCAGTGTACTGAGACTACTTGGCTTCTTTGTCTATAATGTAGAGAAAAAGCAAAACCTATTCACAGTTTGCATTTTGAGGAGTCTCTAACTTTTCTTATATCTATCTTGTTAAGTGTATGATTGCGAACAGTTCCCTGGAATATGAATTTTTTTTATATTCTTATAATGTATGACAAATTTATTAATATGTTGTTTAAAAGACAGGGTCACCTTTGAAGTTAGTGAATTGAATCAATTCTTGTTTATTACTAACTATGATGTTTTTACTCAAAGAACACATGGTATGTGCAAGAAGGGAAGCCTAGGTTAGAAAAAAATTGCATGAGTCTTGGATTCATGAGAATTTATCATGTTTCTCAAGGAGAGAAGGAAACACTTCCAATATGCACACAAGGTTTCTGCCCTTGTCCTCAGTGTTGCAAGTTCCTTGGGAACTGCTGTGAAAAGAAGCCAGGCTGCCTAGTGGACGATCATGAAACACAGGTAGATGTTCAAATTGTTATCATCCATGATCACAAAAATTATTTAATGCTTTATGTCACACATAAAAAAAAGAGCACAATGCTTCCAGTGTACAGGGCAAGAGCCAGATCCAACAGCGTATCCTTCACTGCAGAATTGTTCAGTGTGTCAGAGTCTTCATCCTGCACCATGTTGATCATTTCCCTTCCTTCCCCTGTTGATGAGGCCAGAAATATTTCCTCCATTGTCTGCCAGGCTGTAACTGTAGGTGGATGGGGACAACATAAGCTTTCTTCTTCTCTTCTTTCATACTTGGATCCTTTTCACTTCTGCTTCCCTTTCTCTTTTCTCTCCCTGCTTTCTAATATTTTAACTCCATTTCACCCTTACTGTGTGCCCTTTATCCCCTTCAAGCAGGTTTTTATTCATACCTCTTCCCACTCTCTGCTTCCCTTGCCCTTTTCATGTTTCTGTCCTTCCTCACTCAGTATTTATTCATCTATGTTCACCCACCCCATAGCGGCATCATAATTTCCACATGTGGTTTCTTCATGTGTATGGATGTGTGTGCGCAAACCTGGCCTAAACTTTTCTCCTTTTGACCTGCTAAGTATATGCAATTGCTGCAGGGTAGTAAGTAGTCATCGCTTCTGAGGGACCTGGCTCTGGGTGCTGCACTCAGGATTTTGAGTGAAAAACCTTGCCCTCCCAGTTGCTCATCCTCTGGTGCTCCCCAGGGGTGATCTGGACCTTTCTTTTTTAAGCCCTCTGAGCCTCCAAAGCTTCTCATGGGCAACCTGGTCCAGAACCTGTCCCTCTTCCCCAGGCGTTAAGACCCCCATATGCCATGCCCATTTCCCAGTTTCTCATTCCTTTGCTAGCTCTTTACCCTTGGAAGTTGCCCTGTGGCATCCCATAGCAATTAAATAACTTTACAGCATGTCCATTCTGAATCCAGATCTCCTTAGGGTGTGAGTGGGATCTGCTGAGAGGGGAGGCTGCAGTCAGGTCCATGAGTGAACTACGCAGCCTTAGTGGCCCTGAGCAGCCTCAACTTGTGCCTCCTCCCACATCCTCTGTGGAGGCCCTGGTTACCATCACTGCTGACATTACTGATCCTGACACTGACTGGCATTCCTCCTTGAACTTGGACCTCTCTCATCTGCATGGATTTCCCTGGTGATCTTGTGTCTGACCCTGACTACCAACCCAGGCCTGTCCTGCTTGTCCTGCTCGGGGTTGTTGGGGACTAGGCCGTGGCAGGTGAGGCCCTTGCCCTGCTGGCCTTGCTATCACACTCAGTTGCTGGCTTCCTGTTCCTTAGGGACCACCTGACCCCCACTGTCCCATAACACATATCTTTTACTCCTTTTCTGCTTTTGTCTTTTCAGAAACAAGCTTCTGTGTCCGTAATCCACCTAAATTTTCTGCCTTTATTTGCTCTCCAAGACTCCTCTTTCTCATCCTCTCACTTCAACCCATACTCTTACCTGCTGATGAACTGTTTTCCTCTTGCTGTCTGTTCTTGACCGTGTTAATCATGGTCTGGCTTTTTGGTAGTATGAAGGCATCAGAGAAGACTGGATAGTAAGCAGCCGGGAGCATAGCCATCAGATAAACGGTAAATACCAGGGAAACTATCAGGGATTGATTATCCCCCATTCCAATTCTCCTGTCTAGCACAAGACACCTTTGCTCTTCACCCTTTTCAGCTCATGGAGCCACGAGTTCCCTAGCACCACAGTCATACTTGGGGCACATTATGACATCATTGGGCTCTTCTGCCATGTGAAGGTGTCATATGCTATTAGGCAGAAACACTGTGGACTTTCCATCTGAGGTAGCTAACAACATCCTAAATAATGAAAAGAGTGTGAAAGCTTTTGGGAATCATGTCTCTGCTCAATGCATGAAAAAGAAATAGAATGAAAGGGATCAAAACAACGGGACACCGTCTGATGTGAAAAATCACAATTAATCCTTCTGTAGCTCTCTCTTAGAAGTAGTGCTCACAAGTAACTCACTGAAACTGGGAAAAAAAATGTTTTATAAGATTGATGCAAGTGGAAGGGAAAGGAAAATGTAATTACTTTCCCATTTCAGTGCTTAATGAAATATTAGTATTTTGTGCTGTTTGGCTCACACAGCCTCCGTGAACACAAATAAATTTTTTTTAAAAACAACAGTAGAATGACAAGCATGGGTTTTAAAATGTCCTCTAGATGGTGATCTAACAACATCAATGCAGAAGCAGCTCATCTTACTAAGCATCTATTCACGGGGGGGGGGGGAATCTAATGTCTTACTAACCTTTGCCATTCACTTTGTCAGACCAAATTGGTCATTCTAATTGAGTCTCTGTCCAGACAACATTTTAGGACTCTGATGATGATTTTCCACCATGGAGACTGGGAGACAATTTTCCAATTATTTTCTAACTCACATTTAACTCCAACTATCATTTGCTGTACCAAATATGTTCCATATTTATTGAATTTACATACAGTTTTACATTACCATTGGCTTTCCCTTTTCCTTTGTTTTTTGGGGTTTTTTTTGGTATTTTGGGTTGTTTTTTTTTCATTTTTCCCCTACTATTAATAGTGTTTAAATTCAAGATCTTCATGGGTTTTTTTCTGACATGTCCAAAAACCTGTCTGGAATATAGGCAGGTCAGGAATTTATCTTGTCAAATCAAGATAATAATTATCCCAGGCCTATGAAAGTCACTACAGAAGTAAGTATATGCAAGGATATATACACTCTGATTATAGACACTGGGATTTCTACACCAGGTG